CCAGCCTGTGCTGGCCACGGCCACGGCCACGGCCGCCTCACCCCAAGCATCGCTGCAGCCAGCCCTGCCACGGCCACGGCCATGGCCGCCTCACCCCAAGCGTCGCTGGAGCTTGGTCTGAAGGCTGCTTCAAACAGAAAACTCAGCCATTCATATGACTATGCTGTTGATTAAATACTTTTTTTTTTTAAATTTTCATTTTGGATAGTTATACTTTGCATTTACTTATCATTCTATTTGTTCTATGGAAAAATACAATTGAGGGAAAAATACATGAATTTGGTGATTATTTCATGGGACAAGTACATTCTTCTGTACAAACATCCCCCGCAGCTATCCAGTTTTGGCTGGACAGCATTGGACGGACATGCCTCACCTGAGGAAAAAGAGTAGGGGTAGATATTTCATTCTGTTTGAAGTCCCCAGAAGCAGCAAGGAGTAGGGAGGTCAGGACATTCTGCCTACAGGCTGTAGCACCACAGATTTCAATGTGATTTTAAAGCAGCAGGTTTCTTGAAACAAAACAAAAAAGGTCATCACGTACCTTAACGTGTTGTGAGTCTAACTTTGCATATTTTAGTTGACTTCTATGTAATCCCGTCTCCCAACACTTCTACTTTATTCCTTTCATATCCTTTTTCATTTCCTGTTTTTCTCTTTTTTTGATTTCTGCCATTTACTTATCAAATTGTTCCTCCTGATTATAGATCATATTAAATTTTATTAATTAACTCTGTTCGCTTCTTTAGCTTTTAATTTCAGGTCCCAAGGATTCATCTCTCCTGTCAGTGCCCTTACATGTTTTCAGAGATTCCCTCAGAATTTCCATTTTCTATTTGCTTTTGTTGTCTCTCTGTTTTAGCACACAGCTGATTTTCACTTCCCTCCTAAGAGCAAATGACTTTTCATACACAGAATGACCTCTGTTAAATTTACCATATTTATCTCACATCCCCTTATATTTTCAGGTGTCAAAGACACTCTTTTTAAATTATTTTCTCATGATTTCATTAGGATTTAATCCTTCAGACCTAGGATTTCAAAAGTAACAAATGATTTGTAGTTTCTCCTGCCTTCAGTATCCATTTTGAGGCAGCTTAAAAGGGGTCTGATTTTAAAAAGTCCCTGAGTTCAGGGACATCTTTAAGACCACTTCAGATTAAGACATTCAAAAGTCAATAACTATATGGAGGTGTTGCCTTAGTCAGAAGGCAAAATTGCCAGTGGCTTCAATGTGAGTTTTCTTGCTTTAGAATTGCAAGGTGATACTTGGTGTCTTAGTTCATTTGTATGTATCTTGCTTAATGAGAAACACCCTGATTTTAGTTATCTAAATTTCTTGTTCCAAGCTCATTACTGCTTTCTCTTACTTTGCAAATTACTGGTACATGCTGTCGTTTTTCTGTCTGCTTCAAACTCCCTGATATGCCTGCTTGCCTATACCACTAAATTTGAGCTGGGGGCCTCTTACCCAGTTTTCCTTGAGCAGTCTGCCAAAACATCTGCCCCCAAAATGCCAGCAACTAAACCTAAGAAGAGATTTTCTTAAGTGCTCTTCTAACATTGGTGAGTTGCAATAGCTGCCATTTAAATATGACAATTGTCCTGACAACAATAACCTAGTCAAAAGGACAGAAATAGGATGCCATCTCTGTAAGAAGATATATTCCCTTCTCCCTGCCTCATCCCATGTCCCATAAACCAGTGATTCAACAGGTCAGTCGTGCAGGAATCTTTAAGACTCTGCAGTCCTCCTCTGTTGTTATCTTCTGCCCAGGGACTTGTTAGAGCCCTCCCTCACCAATTCCATTGTCACAGGCCATTTCCTTCATGGTTTGGGTCTTGGATTGCTGCCATCACCATAGGGGTTAGTAGGAGACTGGCCTTCCTCCTGCAGAAATATCTTGATGGTTGGTGCTTTGTCTCATTGATAATGAACTTCTGATGATGATCTCATTTCTGAGTTTCTGTCAGATCTTTCCATTTGGAGAGGTTTATCTCATATGAACCTAGCTGTTATTGTTATTTCCTAATACTGTTTATCATTTCAGCTAGAAACGCCCATCAAAATCCTTTAAAGAGTAGAGAGTTTGATCCTTTTCAGGTCTTAGCATCTGTGCCAGGATATGTTATATACCTTGTCTTCCAATGAACTGGTAACAAAACCACAGCCTGACAGCCCAGATGCACTCCAGGAACTATGAGGAAAATTGCAGAATGAAATCAATACTGCAGGAAAAAAAAATCCTCTTATCAAAACAGTTACATTCTGGGGCTTATATTCTATAATGAAAAATAATTTAGTCTGGGTTCCTCATTAGAAGATGTTGAATTATTTCAAACGTATATATGAATCTTGACTACATTTAAAGTATTTTTCAAGTCAGACTTTTGTCCTTTTCCTGTCTTTTCTTTGCTCCACAGCATTTTGTCAAAGTTCTGCAACCATCAGCACCAGTCTGGGATATATGTATTTTACGCGGAAAATGATGATATGGTCACAACGAAAAAATTCACTCTGTACGTGAGAAGTAAGTGAGAAAACAATCCCTGAGAAGATTTGGCGAAGTCTGGGATTTTGCCACTGATATAAATGGAGCTAATATGTTTCTTTTCCCTTGGTATTGCCCATTTCATTTACATAGATTTATTCTTAAAAATGGCAGAGCATGAGGCAAAAATGTGATTCTCTGTGCTGCACTGCTGAAATCCAGGCACTGGGTCGGAGAAGGATGCCAGCTGCTTGTGGGTCATGTTTCTTGTGTTGGTCAGGGATGGAGAACAGAGGAAGGAGGAGGAAGTTACTAATTTTTTTTCTCTTCCCTTTAGTCTGCCATAAACAGAGAGGACAGAATATGAGAAATCAGTCACATACTGAGAAAATTAATACTTCTTAAGAAAACCATAAAGCCTAGGAGCTCAGCAAAATACGATGACCGTATTCTAAATCTACAGAGGCAGAATATATGTGACTGCTGTAGAGACCATGAGATACACAGTGAGAGGAAACACTTATCCTCATCAGGTGTTAGCTTTCTATGGTGTGTTTATGTCATTTTTTTCCTAATGGCATTTGTGAGTTAACGTAGTTAGTCTGGAGACCCTTTGGTGTGTGACATATATGTTAGGACTGCACTGCCTCGTGTGCCCCTATCCACAATTTGCACACACGCACAGTCTTGCCCAGTGCTCTTGGTTTTTTCAGTTCTGGCACGTGACTGCAACATCTCACCCGTGCTCTAGGTCAGGGAGCTTTATTTATTACATGTTATTTATACAGGGATCCTCTGTGCACATTTTGTAGGAGCCCAGACACCCAGAACTGGGGTGTCAGGGGAGCCCTAGGGCCGACTGATTGCTCCGAGTCGGAAAAGCAGAAGTCAAGACTTCTAATTTTGGCTCTGCCACTGTTTTGGACTGGCTGTGCCCGTACGGAGAAGTGGCTGCTCCCCTTGCCTTGCCCACATTGCTGTCCCCCAGAACTGAGGCGCGGGGCTGGAGGAAGGAGGAGGACTGAGGGCTGCACCCAGCTCTCACAGTGACATGTGGGTGGGTTATTTTGAAAACACGGAAGCAGATCTTGGTCTCAGCAGATGTAGCATTGCCAGTTAAACATAAAGGTTTTTGTCACTGAAGTGCTGACAGAAATTGTCTTGTGTTATCTTGTTGCAGGAAAGCCTGAAGTAACGATGCAGTTGTTGTTCAAGCAGGTCTCCTGCGTCGCTGACAGTTACCCTGCCTCATCCTGGGTTTGGAGGAACTGTCCCGAACTGAACTCATCCAAGTATATCATTTTCACTCTTTTTGATTCATTGTAAAGACCGTATCTGAGGTATCCTTGGTTAAATGAAGACTGGCCTATAAGAAACTAAGTGTAAAATGCATCCTCGACTGTTTGTACAAGGGGACATGGTGGCCCACTCCAGGGGAACCTGATCACCAAAACCAGGGAAAATTTTCAATTTTTTTATTAGCATCAAATGAAGTCTATAAAGATCTGTATCTCAGGCTCTTTATGCTGAAATAAACCCCACTGTGTTTATATAAAGAGTTAGGTAGTTACAAAGTCCAATCTAAGTTTTTCTCTTGGCCTGTCAAACTTAGAGGGCATTCAGGGAATGCATTCGTTAATATGGGCTTGATTAACTGGTTAAGCTTTGGTTAATACAGCTGTTACAGTGACCTGTAACCAAAGCCAGTAAAGTCAGTGAGAGTATTTCCAGTAAAGTTAGTGAGAGTGTTTCCATTTCCTCTATTTACTTAGGGCAATGAGTCAGGCCCTAAAATTTCAAGAGATGCTGAAACAGCTTTGAGCTGTTTTATGAACTCTGCAGTTTTTATTTTAGATCTGCCAAAAAACTAATAATCCCACAGTGCAGAAGAGTACTGGGTCAAATTATCTTTTGGAATGTTGTGGATAAAGCTCTAAGTATTTTAACTAGATATAAAAAAATTATCGAGACCATTTTCTCATCCATACCTCTGAAAAGGCTTCCTAACATCAATCTGTTTGTGCAGTAATGGAAGAGGAAAGAAAACATCCAGCTAGTGAGTTTAAAATACTCCTTAAAACAGCTTTCTGGAAAGAAAATGCTGTGACATTTCTTTTCTTGGGCACTTCCACATGTAGAAGCTAGTACTATGTGTAGAGCTGAATAGATTTTATTTATTTATTTACCTCCTCATTTATTTAGGCAGTAAATTAGGCAGTAAGTTGATGGATGATAAAAAAGCTAAAAGTCAAAATTAGCTCTGTGTGGGCTTCCTTTCCCTCGAGTATAACGTTCCCTCTTTCTACATATCAGATCATAAGTCATTAATACAGGGCGGATGGTCTCCATCTTGAGTGAGAGAAACTTCCTGGCTGAAATCACATACCTTCAGGGAAAGGAGTTAGAACTTTTATTGTGGGTTCATTTTGTATTTATATTTTAGTAGCAGCTCATTTGGAGCTGCTCAGTGGTTTGAATGTTTGAGATAAAGGTGAAACCAGTGAGAATAGATGCCCGGGGTGAGGGGTGGTGTCAGCTGTGAAATTGGTGGAGGTCCTGGAGGTCAGGGGGTGCAGCTGCCCTGCCAGGGCAGTGGTGGAGAGTGGGACTGAGCCCAGTGTAGGAGGTAGGGAGCCCAGTTCACCCCCCGCTGACCTTGCCATGTCCATCACCAAAAAATGAGACTGGCAACTGCTCTGAAGCCTCATTCTAGAAGTGACAAATAAAAAACAAGCCCATCTATCCCTTCCTCCCTCCCTTTCAACACAGATATAAGACATGTTTTGAAATATCCCACCTTCTCCCTTGGAAAATGCCACTGTGAGCCAAAAATCAAAACTGGTCTGCTTTCTTTTTCAGCTGTACAGAAGAAATCACTGAGGGTATTCACAACTTCTTGCCAGAAAGGAGATCCCTGGGGTCATGGATTTCAAGCACTACTTTAGATGTAAAGGAGACAGCAACAACCTTCTCCGTTGAGTGCTGTGCAAACAATTCTGTTGGTTCAGCCTGTGAAAAGAGTTTCATTAACCTGTCAGGTACCCTAAGGCAGTGCTTTAGCACAGATTTTCTCAATTAAAGCTGGCATGGTAGAACTTACAGTATTTTTTATCTGGCTGAATGGCTGACTGTGCAATGGCATGGCAGGTAAAACACAAGCACTGTGTATATACAGTGTGGGAAATGGTGGGTGAATGGGAGACACATGTCTCTTTTCTCTGGTCCCAAAGCCGGGGCCTTCCTCATTAAAATGAGCAGAAATTTCACACGAATAAGAAGTGCAGGATGGAGCCATGGCAATGTTGGGGTCTGCTTTTTTATTGCATCTTAGTAATCTCTACCTGAAACCTGGAGGCATCAGCTTTGGGAAGAGCTGAAGCCACTTTGGTAGCTGGTGGCAGGTGTTGGCTCTTGTTCCTCTCCTGGAGGTCACCGCGGTGCTGCCAGAAAAGCCCATGGGGAGCTCTCCTCACCCCGTGAAGGTCATTGCATGCCGAGCAAGAGCATGACTGAGCCAGCAGACCCACTCAAGGGACAGACCCTGTCTGGGAAGCAGGAGCAAGTACCAGAGGAGACACCTTCTTAAACTGCTGTAGACAGGTAGCAGAAGGCTAAGCCCTGGTTTGGGAACTACTGTGAAGTCTCTCTTCTTGTTGAGGGCATGAGATATTCTTTCCTTGTTGAACAAGAAAGTCAATAAGATTATTTGCCCATGCACTTTGTACTTGTAACACCATATACATTCCATAGGGCAAAATATTTCAGGTTACTGGGAACCTGAAAGGGAACATGCTGTGGCACCTGGGAAGTGTTTTGAAGCACCCAGATATTTGCAGTACAGAGATTTCCTTTGTCATGGATGAACAAGCTGTTTGCTGCTTTTGACTACAGCTGGCAGAAGCTGTGACCACTGATAGAGTTTGAGCATTTATGTTGAAATTACAATAGAAAGTAAGCATAATACTTATGCTCTTAGAAACTACGAGAATATGAGGGTAGGTTTCATGTAACACTCACCTACCCACCGGCACCTTGTAGCATGGTCTTGACTTGTTAAGAGAGTTCCTGGCTGAGCAGCAGAGCAACACTCCAAGCAGGTTGTGAACAGTCCATCCGCTGATAACTGGTGCTTTGGTATCTGATGTACATTGCTTGGGCGAAGGTACAGGGAGAGAAGGGAGGCATAATGAGAAGAGTAATTGTTTATTCCTGTTTATGTTCACAATGTCCAATCCATGCATAACACCTCCATGCATTTAGATTTATTAATTGGTGTAGCATTTTTTTGGAATGAAAAAAGATGTCAGAATTACCCAGCACTTAACGCCTCCTGCCCAGCTCCTTGCTTTGCACGTGGCTCCATCTCATTCCCCGTGCAGAGGAGGCTCAGGCGTGAGAGGACTACACACTGGCAGAACTGACCAAGCTGCCGTCAGTTCTCCTTGCACTCTTAGCTGTACACACGACCTCTGATTCAGTGGGTAGTAATATGTATCTCTTACAGTTGCAGGAGCTGTTTCTTCCGCCCCAGACAATGCTGCATTCTATGTCTCTGTTGGATTTTTCCTCCTATTGATCGCTTTTTTGTTTGTATTCATTTTTCATAAATACAAAAAGGTAAAACCAAACATAAATACATGACCCTTCTTCTTTTGTTCATACCAGGCTGTTTCTTCTTCTCTAAGACTTATTCAACTTTTTTTTTCTTCCAAAGCAATTTAGATATGAAAGCCAGTTGCAAATGATTCAGATGATAGGCCCATCGGATAATGAGTACATCTACATCGACTTCAGAGAATGTGAATATGATCTCAAATGGGAATTTCCCAGGGAAAATCTGGAATTTGGTGAGCAGTACACAAGGCAACCCACAATGCTGGAGTAGTAGCCTGTGCTGTAGCAGCTGCAAATAATATTGGCATATTGTGTCTTGTAGGACAAGTCCTTGGTTCTGGGGCTTTTGGGAAAGTGGTGAATGCAACAGCTTATGGAATTAGCAATGCAGGAGATTCAGTCCAGGTTGCAGTCAAAATGCTAAAAGGTACGATAAACTCTGGGTGCCTTTCACAAGCGGTAATGTACTCTAGCGGCTCCAAAGCAGAAGCGGTGGTGGAACTCCCTTTATATACAGACTTGTAGCAGTTACACCTTGCAAATGCTTGATTTCAAAATCCTTTCAAAATGTTTTCAAAATCCTGTTTCAGTTTGGAAAGGTATTGCTGAAGTCCCTTCTTCCTGCAGCATGTGGCATTTTGTCCTACACACCATAGATCTGCGTTGTGTGGATGGAGCTGCTCTGCTCTAGAGAGGACGAATGCAAATTCATAGTGCAGATTAGCCTGCTGGTCGCATTGGTGACTCTGTGGACTTCGGTGTAAGGTCCCTTTTTCTTGTAGTGCTGTCTAGTTGTTGCATTCCCTTCGTCTCCTGTGTCTGAGCTAGCTTGTTTGCAAAACTTCCAGTACATCTTCCTATAGTCTTTTCTTCTTGATGACACAAAGCAATTTCCTTCCATCCCTCCTTACGGGTCAGGCTTCTTAAATCTCTAATCCTTCTTGCTGCTTTGTTCTGGCCTCTCCAAACTGTCTTGACCCCTCATAAAAGCAGTGTCCAGAAGCGAGCCTCCCCAGCAGCAAGCAGAGGAGGAGGGCTGCCCACACAGTCCCTTCCTGCCAGCACTGCCGTCCACCTCATCATCTCCTATTTGCACATGTGCATCAGCTTTACGCGTCCTTGGTCCACTCCTTTGCAGATCATCTTGATCATTTTGGTTCATGTCCCCAATTCACTGAAATCACAAGGACCAAATGCTTGCTGAAAACCAAGCCTAAAGCTATTACTGAAACACAGGGTGGCCTTCTTAGCTATTGGATCACAACTCGTTGTGTGCCGTATGGCTGTTGAGACATTTTTTTCTCTTAGCATTTCTCTCCAACAGGGTTGACTGCCATTTTTTCCATGCTTAATACACTGCTGTCATTCCTTGCCAGCCTAAGAATGGCAAATATTAATATTTTATGACTGCTTTCCCAAGCATTCAAATGATACACACTCACACACACATTTATTTTCCACCTTTGGCTAAATCTTTTTATATTGTACAAAAATTTTTAAGATGTTCCCAAATGTACTTTCAGTCCAATTAATTTGAAATGAAGACTCGCATGTGACAAAGCATCACAACCATTTACATTTTTAATTCCTTGCTGGAGATTTCCAAATCTGTGTTACTTTTACAGAAAAACCTGATGCTTCAGAAAAAGACGCTCTAATGTCTGAGCTGAAAATGATGACTCACATTGGAAGCCATGAAAATATTGTGAACCTACTAGGAGCTTGTACTGTGTCAGGTAACTTGTGGAAAGGTACCAATTAAAATGTTCAGACTAACGAGGACTCCTGAACAGAAAAGAAGTATCAAAAATTGATTACTGAAAACAGTATTAAAAACATCCAAGCCATAATTAATTACCTCTTCCTCAGGCTGCTGTTCCTCTCTTCACCCCTGAATCCTTCCTTTGCCCAACCAATTTTGCTGTTCTGCGCCAGCCCAAAATAAGAGGAAGATGAAATTAAATCAAAGTTAAGGCCATGCATGTGTACATAAATAGGTCCTTTCTAATTGAACTTGCATGAAGTGACACAATAGCCCTTCTGTAGAAAAGATTTTCCTGTTACAATGGTAATGGCACTGATACAGGCCAGTTCATTAAGTGAAAAAGAAAAGCTTATCTGGTATAAGATACCTTTGTATCCATATGATTCTGTTCACATAAGAAATTTTTTTTTTTTTTAAATCATGTGGCTCACCAAACAGCGAAGTTGTAGAAAGAAAGGGAGAAATAACTAAAGGCTACACAGGAAAGGAAAGAAAAGAAACTGAAAAAAGAGCAGGGGTGGGGGGGACACCCGAAGAAAGAAGAGGAGAGAAGTGAATAATGAAAGAAGAGACAACTTTTTAAGGGACTGAATGTAAAAATAAACTGAAGATGGAAAGAACTAAGCAAAGATGGGCTAAGATGAGAGTGGCAAGATATTATCACTAATTAATTATTGTGTGACTTGTAATATCATTGAGGCAACATACGTGGATATTTCTGTCCCAAGAACTCCCTCTCTGGCCAGACCAGCAGTGAACAGGAGCGGGTGGAGAGAGGCTAAAGAACAGATCACCTCGGGGAAAGGGCAGGGTTTACCCAGTGTTTGCCCATATCATGAACTTTAACACCTGCCACTGAAAAACTTGACAGATTTTCTGCCATGGATATTTATTAAGTCAGAAAGACCAAAGATAACACTTAACTCGTTTCCCCAGTTTGCATCAACAACAATACTGTTGTGCAAAGATGTTTGAGGCATAAGAGGAAAGCAGAGAAATAATCGTTGTTGGTGGCTTTAGCTGATTTGAAACTATACAGGCTGCCACTGCCTTCTGGAAAACTCAGCAAGTGTGATGGTGTAGGCAGAACTGCAGGGGAGAGCTGCTCAGTCTGGCAGGGTAGGGCAGGGACATTTCTAGCCTTATCCAAGTCCTGTGTTCAGAAACATTTACATGGTTCTCAAGACTTCACATCCATCCTCTGAGAGACTTTACAGGCTTTTCACAGTGTGCCCTAGCTTGCTTGACAGGGGCTTTCTGGCAGAAATGTCCACAAATTCGTATTCGGTCTTTCTGAGCCAGAAGTGGTGATGCCAGTGTAAAACTTTGCAGGGGTGATGTGTGACCACTCTGAGCTCTCCCTGGGCTGTTCACTCTGCTCCTGCTGGCTTGTCATGGCTTTCCTCCGAGCCTGCCTGGTCGGGAATCAGAGGTATTTTTCCTTTCTTGAGAACAGGGCGTGACCAGTGCACCACTCAGACACATCACCTTGCAAGGTCTTTCCCTCCTATAGGTCCTCTCAGCAAGCACACGTGGGTTTCAGCTGGCCTTCATGGAAAAAGAAAGGATATTTCTCGAGCATGAAGGTAGTGCGGATAAATGAAAGGGCGTAGGTCAAAGGATACCAATTCACACCATCAAAATAATTAGCATCTTTTGCTTGACCCATGTATGGTTTAGACAATATGTTGCATCTTTATAGCCTGTCCTGTCCTCCCCAGTGCCGTTGGTATGGGGAAGGATGTTTGTGCCTTCATAGGGATTTGCAATCCACTTTGGGAGATGCATCACAGGGGAAAATCAGCTACACAGACGAGGGACATTACAGTCAGTAATTACAGTCAGTAAACATTACCTGCCCATCAGTACAGGTTATCTACCTGGGAAGGGAAGATGCTTGGAACATTTAATACAGATCAGTCCTGGGAGAAGATGAGGCATCATTAGGGCTTTAATGGGGAGAGTGCTATAGGTAGCAGGAGGCATTTACATTTCCAACTATTTCAGGACCAATCTACTTGATATTTGAATACTGTTGCTATGGTGACCTTCTGAACTACTTAAGGAGCAAAAGAGACAAGTTTCACTGGACACTGACGGATATTTTTAAACAGCACTACTTCAGCTTTTACCACAATATCCATTTGGACCAAAATTCTAGGTAAAGCATTCAGCAACAGTTCAATACTTTATAAAGCTACTGTCTCTTTTTAAGCTGCATTCTCAGCTGTGCTGTAAACTGGTGAAATTATTGAATTCTTGAGAATGTACCTTCACATACTTTAATAAGCAATGCCTTGGGAGGAACTGAGATTTGATTCTCATTATCATGTTCTCCACACTGGACTGCAAAAGACAAGCAATCTCTTACTACTCTTTCCAGTTTCGAGAAGACTCATGTCTGTGCCCTGATTTTTAATAGCAATAACTGATCATGCATTTTCACTGCAAAACAGTTTATCTGTAGAAGATTATGTGATCCAATGTGTGTAGCCTTTGAAAATGTGTCACCCACTCCAGGAAGGGAACTCACCTGAAGTACAGTGTGAATATGACTCTATGCAGAGAGGATGAATTTGAAATCACACAAAGAAGTCAAAACATAAATGTGACATCTGGATCAAATGGGATTGTGCTGTATTCAGAGGAAGGTAAGAGATTAGTTGGTTTTATCTCTAGTAATTCTGTTATTATTGTATTTTTTATATTATTGATCTAACTAGACTAGGTCCAGTGACACAGGAGGCCCCTTTCTGTCGTATGTCTCTCTTCCCTCCTGGCAGGAATTTTGCTGGAGAAGGGTTCAACAACACTTGAGACCAGAGGCTTATGTTTCTGGTCATGCTATACATAGTATTTGAGTATGAAATTACTCTTTCCTTTATTTTGTGTCTGACCAAAGGATGAAAAAGATGGATGCTTTTTGTGATATTTTTGGTAGGAACACATGAAAATCCTTACAACAGTCAGTGGAATTAATCAGAGAGTGAGGAAGCCCATGGAAAACTCATACTTTTCGTTATTTTTTACAGATAAAATTAAGCATGCAAGCAGACAGATGGATGAAGAAGAGGATTTTAATGTGCTCACTTTTGAAGACCTTCTTTGCTTCTCTTATCAAGTGGCCAAAGGAATGGAGTTTCTTGAGTCCAAATCGGTATGGTGAAGACTAGCAAATTGTTTAGATAGAAAAGACAGTAAAAATAGGTCAGTCTGTAAAAGGCAGACTGAAGAACAGAGCCACACAGTGGCAGACTTGAACTATACTTCCTTCCCTGGCTTTACAGCAAAGATAGGACTGCAGTTTTAGGCATGACCCTGAGTAAGAAGTAGCTACACTGCACACTTCTGCCTGCTCTGGCCCTGTCCTTTGCCACGAGCAACCAGGGACTGTCCAGCTTGCTCATTCTCCAAATTGTTTGAGTAGAAAGAGGTACCAGTTCAGAGAGCTCTGTGTGAGACAAGGGAATTATCTCCTTCTGATACCAAATGCTGCATAGCGTTAACCCATCCTTTCCTTCTAAGTGCATTCACAGAGACCTCGCTGCCCGGAATATACTAGTGACCCATGGAAAAGTGGTGAAAATATGTGACTTTGGCCTTGCCAGAGACGTAGTGAACGATTCCAACTACATCGTCAGGGGCAATGTAAGTTCCTGAATGCTCTATATTTTTCATACCATTGTAAGAATAATAAGGAACCAAGAAAGTGAAGCTTTGCATTTTCAAATTCCTTGTTAGCTGTGTAGATATCTGTACAGACAGTGCAGAAATCTCACTTTTTCCTGGCCTTGGTAAGTGCAAATTCTTAGCTTATAGTTAACCTAATCAAGCTAGTACTGTAAATGAGATGGTACCCATGTCCTTTCTAAAGCGCGCTGAAACCATTGATGGAAGTGCTTGCAATTGTTTTCTGTTACAGACAATAATAGTATAGGGAGAATAGCATATGTGTGGGGTACATCAGATCCTCCAGCTACATGAAGAAGTACAGGGTGGACATCTCCATCTGAGTTACTCATTCTGGAATTCAGAGGAGGGAAGAAGGGTATTCCGGGGCTAAGCTCACCTCTTCCTTAAATAGTCATCTAAAATGGATGAGAGGAATTGGCTCCTTAGAAGTCCCTATTTCTCTGTATACGGGAAATTTAAAGGGGCTACTAAGAGAGGCCCAGCTTTTCACATAGCAAACATTAATTGATCCTCAAGCAGTGGGAACTACAGTGAGTCATCTAGAAAGCCTGTGTCACAGTATGACCTAGCCTCCTTTCCCCCGTCTGTACAGGCTCGTTTACCAGTTAAATGGATGGCTCCTGAAAGCTTATTCGAGAGGACGTACACAATGAAGAGTGATGTCTGGTCTTACGGAATATTACTATGGGAAATATTCTCTTTGGGTATGTTCTGTAACACAACAAAAGAGCACTGCTTGGTTTTGGCAACTTCTGAATTAACATGTATTCTCCAATATTTTCCACAGGTGTAAATCCCTACCCTGGTATTCAGGTTGATACAAACTTCTACAAATTAATACAAAGTGGATTTAAAATGGACCGACCATATTATGCTACAAAAGATGTGTAAGTGTATTTCCTGAGTGATGCATAGCATGGGAATTTATATTTACTAGGTCACTGTTTGTATGACCTTTTATTTATTGTACACTGTACCTTGCTCAAAAATATCGCAAAAGATGAGATCTTCCTCTAACTTTGAAAAAGGCTGCTTGATCATGTAGATTTTGTCCTAAAGCAGAAATGATCAACACTAAAGGTTATGTGTGTTTGAAAGGACTAATTTATTATCTGTATTTAATTGTGCCTTCCTTTCCCAGGGAAATTCTTGTTCTCACATCACAGACTTATTTTTCTTTTTGCAAAAGCTATGTTATACCATATTCATTTTGGATATTAGCTAAATCTTTGGTGATATTTTTTAAACTTTTTTTTTTTTTAAAATTAAGCTTTAACATGTTTGATTCAATTCCAGGAGGCTAGAGATCCTCTTACAGAAAAACCCTGCTAAGGAAGAGTTGGCGGGAGCTATTCCTGTGCTCTCAGGATTTTCATGATTTTCATGATTTTCAGCTTGTGCCTCTGTGCCTGGGTGGACTCTGCCTAGAGGCAGACCCCAGAGGACAAGAGAAGAGAAAGTGGTGGGGAGCTACGAGACCTGGAGCATGGAGGAAAGGGAAGGACTTTAGGTTGTCTGAGCTCTTCCGGAAGACGTTTTCATAGATGGCCTAGGGACTCAGTGCCTTGCTATGGCACTGTACCATTCCTATCCTCTCCATGTAGAGACTGTAACGGCATTAAAGGTATAGGTGAATCTGACAGTTTCACCCGAGAAAGATTGCTGTGGGGCTTATGAGTACCAGGGAATGTATGGACCTGGTAAGTTTGCAAGGGACTTTAGCAGCTAGGCACTGCACTGGTCCCTGATGAAACTGTAAAATTTCTAAGGTGGTGTTTGAACTTTAGAAAAATTTTTGTGATGTCAAATTCCACAAAAAGACTCACAGTGAAAACTGTCCTCAAGACTACAGAGTCCACAAGGACCACGTTCAGCCCCAGAGTTGGACAAGAATTGTCTTCCTACCATTTTCTTTATGGAAGCTGGAAAACAAGGTTAGCATGCCAGTATGTGCCAGCCATGTGGCCCCAATCCTATGAGGAAGATTTTGCTAAGGACTCCAATAAAGCCATGTTCTTTGTTTCACTCTTTTTCCTTATCTTTCTATATCTTTTCCTCTGATGCAATATGCTAAATCTGGCCTCTTTCTATAAAATCGTTCTGGTCGCCCGTGACTCCCATCCAAATCCTGCACTTCTGTGTAATCACTTACAGAGACTCCAACAGTTAACGTGTTTTCTGTGTCACCTTTTTGCTCCTGCAGCTATGGCTTGATGCAGTCCTGTTGGTCCCTTGACTCCAGAAAAAGACCCTCTTTTTCTTGGCTGGTTTCCTCTCTTACCTGTCAGCTGACTGAGGCAGAAGGAGCAGTAAGTAAACACAGAAAGAAGAAAAATATTTTGGGGGTTTTTTTTGTAGCCCCATATGAGCTGAGAAATAGTCTTCTGGTTTCTATTCAAGTGTGCCATTGCTTTACGGAGTTATTCCTCAGGGATCCATGTAAGAGTTTGAGGAAGTTTTTTCTGCCATCAGAAGGAATCCTGACCTCCCTGATGAGGATTTCTTTGCCCCCACTGCCTGCACCAGGACTCTGGAAGGCTGAAATCTCTCATCCTGTGCTATGGGACTGTGCTTCCCTTGTGCAGGAGCCAGTGCAGTTGGCTTTGGTGATGCTGATAGCTGCCATGGGAGGGGAGTGTGGGCCACCCACCAGGGATCTCATGAGGGGCACCATAGGTATGTGCTGCCACGTCCTCACGGACGGAGGGCCGTGTATCATTCTCAAAGGTCAAAATAATAAACAGGATCTGAGGAAGACATATTCCATCCTTAACAGACTTTGCTCTCTTCCTCAGGGAGGATAAGCAACTCCTTTCAAAACTACTGATTCCTACCTGGGTATCCACTCTGGGCTAGACACTATTTCCCAATGCAGTGTCCTTGCTAAACTTTAGGGATATGGGGAGCTACGAATGACTCTTGCCTTTGCAGCCTTGAGCCTCTCTGCAGGCTGTTGGCCTGGCAGAAGCTGCTGAGTGCAGAAGCAAACTGATGAGCAACTTCAAAGCACTGTACCTAGAAAAAAAATCCTCCTTTGCAGTCCAGTGCCCTTCCCCATCCCAGCTTTTTTTGGCTGGGTAAGATCCATCTCACTTAGGCAGTTGTCTGGACTCCTTTTGGGGTCAGTGGGAAGTAACGGGCAGATATAAGTGTGATTCTCCCTCAAGAGGAGGTGGGCTGTACCTGACAAGTGCCTGCTTCATAGGGAGAAAAGCAGTTTACCAAGTACAATAAGTAATAACAAAAAATATCTTATATTTCCTTTTCCCAATTCTAGGTTTACCAGAATATGAAGAAAAATGTTTCTAGGCACAATTCCAGCATCAAAACTAAACCACGTGTAAGCAGGGATGAGGAATCTCTGCTATCCCTGACTGCGCTCCAGCATGAAGACTCTCAGGTTGAAAAATAATCTGGGTTCTGGATTTGATCTCAGTATTTTCATAAACTCCATGTAGCATATATGTTTGATATCACCACTAAGAAAAGAAAATGTTACCAACTACTGCTCTATTCTTATGGGCCAGTCCATATTTATGTTACTTTGAGGAGAAGACACAATTCATTTCTTTGAATTCAGCAAACATATCTATCACAAAAGAGAAGCAATGGTCTTTTCAGTGTCTTTCTACAACTGGATATCTCTTTTCCTGGTTTTATGTAAACGATGTCTAATCAAAGCATTGAATTCAGACTGTTCTTGCCATATTGCAAGCAAACAAGAAAATCCATCGTTTTTTAGTCAATGTTTATAAGCACGGACTATTCATCTAAAGTGAACTGGTGTGATTTCCAGAAGTGCTACTCACATCTTCATCTCCAGATGTCAGCAAGTGTTGGAAAATCAGCTTTGTTTTACAAGGAACTATAAATCTGAGTGTGTATGACTGTCTTATGCTGAACATCTCAATTGCTGTGAAGTTCCCAATAGGTGTCCAGCTCAGGTGAGTTCATTTCATCGAGCTTTAGGTACTCGGGTGGTCTCTAGTCATCCAGACTACATTCTGCACTCTCTGATGAGAGCTAGGCACTTAGAGTGACTGATTCCTTCTACCTAAAATAAGCATCTAAAACAAGCAGGAGGAGTGATATTTGGAGATGACCTTCTGCCTCCCTGGTCTAGAAAATCCAGGTAGCAGTCTCCAGCTGGAAGTCTCACTTTGACTGAGTTATAACTAATTCCACTCTTTGGGCTTTGTGTGTTTTAATATCAAATAAAAATGTTTAATTTTAAAGAAATTGTCTTCAGTAGCAATTTAGGAGTGTAATATCATCACTCCCAATTCCCAGAAGTCAGCTGGGTGTATGAACCCTGCTGCAATAAAATGAGAGTACGTCTCTTCAGCTTTCTCCCAAACTCCCAGGACAATAACCAGAGGCTTGATTGTTTTTTAATATAGATAAAATGACACGTTATTTTTCTGATGATGTTTGGGGATTTGTAAATACGGCTCTTATAATGACTAACAGGATACATTTGTCTACATCCCAATGAATCGAGATGAGAATATATTGGTTAATAGTTTTCTTCTCTCTTACATTTTACAAAATGCTCACTGCAGTTAGGATTTCCAGTGGCAAGTGTTATAAATGAATAACTGTTTGGATAGAATGTGCTATCACATAAACTGAGCTGCTCTTTACTAACATTGTCTGAAAATAATTAATGTTGTAATACAGTGATTATGAACTTTATATTTTTGTTAACATTCTTGAATTAGCAATGAATCATTGACAATAACTTGGAAATATAAAGATAGAAATAAAACTTTAACATTGTATTTTCTGGAAAATATATATGTCTTTTAACGTACTCATATAACACAATTTCAAAGAGTTCAGCAACAAGATGTCACTGTTCAGCACTGTTAACCCACAGCCCGCACCAGCTGGAAAGCGAGAGTTGAGTGGCTTGTGCAGACAAGAGTTTTCAGCCACTGTAGCCTTCAGAGCTAGAGGAGCTTAGCGCTGAACTGGTTGCATCCAAGCCTAGCTGGCCCTGGAAGCTAAGCAGATGTGAACTTGGCTCGTAGAGAAGCAGATGGGAATCCCATGTGCTTTAAAATATGCCAGGGAGTTGTGTCAAGTGTTTTTCCACAAGATTAAAAAAAGGAGTGGGCAGAGGTCATCTGGCCCCATCATCGCTACTGAGCTGAGACTTGGGAATATAAAGGCAAACAGAGAACCTTGGAGCTAACACAAACTCCTCTTGATGGACACGTGAAAAGCAGCTCAGGCAACATGGCACCCTGTGAGGAAGTACAATCAGGAGAAAAACCCTCCTGTAAGGGCTGGACACATGGAGGCTTGTGCATCTGCTACTCCACACAGCAGAGAGGGTTGGAACAAAGCTACAGGAGGTATTCAGTGAAAAAATAATATATTTTAGGAGCACATTTCCTTTCCAGGATACTTCCAACACAACTTAGCAAAATGCTAGTCCATTCCTGAGGCTTGTGCAGAGCCACAGCCAGCGCTATTTAAGGAGCAGTTTCATGATTCTTCATTTCTCTTGTTAAGATCCAGACTCCTAATCTGGAGCAGGTTCTCTGGAGAAAGTGCTAAATTCCCCCTGTAGTGAATGGGGAGAGTTAAGCTTGTTGGAAGACCTCCAACAGAGATGCCATTAGTCTGAGCTAGATGCATTAAGTCAGGTAGAGACTGACAAAGATTCCGTAATCATTAAGCCGGGAAGAAGAGGAACAGAAGGGGTTGGGGTCAGTTAAAAGTGCTGAAAGGCAAAGGACACCGCGCTCTCCTTGTTAGCAATAACAGAAAGAAAAAACAAGAAAGAAATATTTGACAAGCCAAACTGAAACACAAGACGGCCCTAATTTTCTTTCCCTTTTCCCTGCCAAACCACACCGCGGAGCCTGCAGCCCGGTCCCGAGGAGACCCCCCCCGCGGGATGCCTCCGGGATGGCCCCGGGATGGCGCCGGGATGGCCGCGAGCTGCCGCGGTCCCCGTCCCGCCG